CCCGCCAACCGCCGCTCGCACGGGACGCTCCCCGACAGCTGTGTACCTAGAGCGAAACCCGGTCCCGCGCCGCGAGCCACAACCTCTGTGAGCCACTAAGCGGAGTGCGGAAAGACCGCCCCGCCAGGTCCTCCGGAGGTAAATCTGCCCCCGCCTACCCCGAGTCCTGACCAATGGCAGCATGACAGTGCAACATCCCAGCCAATCAGAGGCAAGCGGGTGGAGCGGGCGGGGAGGGGGAGAATGGCGGCGCAGCAAGGTAGAAAAGTGGCGGAAGCTGGTACAAAAGTGACGGGTTCGTCTCTCAGCGCTTTCTCCCGTCGTCCTCCCCGTAAAGCTGGGCCTTCCTTCCTGAGGAGGCTTAAGAGAATGTTTCGGAAATTATGCCGAGACACTTTGATTAGGACAGAAGGCCCCGACATAACAGGAATTTACAGATCCGTATGTTTTAAATATCGTATTTAGCCGGGCATGGTGGCGCACGCCTGTAATCCCAGCACTCGGGAGGCTGAGGCAGGAGGATCGCTGTGAGTTCAAGACCAGCCTGGACTACATAGTGAGTTCCAGGTCAGTCTCAACTACATAGTGAGACCCTGTCTCAAAAAACCAAAATGAATAAATAAATAAAAAATATCATATTAAAATATATATTTTTATCACCAAGTTTTCTGAGGACCCTTTCAAATTTGCGATTCAAATAAATGGTCCTCCTGTAACCCCAGAACACTGGAGGTTGAGGCAGGACATTCGCAATTTGGAGTCCAGCCCCGGCAAATTAGCGATTTGGCAACTGTTTCAAAATTTAAAAAATAAAAAGGGATGGGGATGTAGCTCAGCACAAAGGTTTCAGGATAACTCTCCAGTCAGGGATACAGTACTTGCCTACCGTGTGCGAAGCCCTGGGTTCCATCTTGAGGACCGCAAAACAAGAACAACAAATAACTATGCTAGGGCTGACTTGTGGGGGGTAGGGGTGGGGGAGGAGTGAGACAGGGTAGTCCAGGCTGGCCTTCAACTCACTGTATTAGCCCAAACTGATCTTGAACTCAGTGATCCTCCTGTCTCAGCCTCCTCAGTGGGATTATAGGCTGGTGCCACCACCTCCAGCATGGGTTTTTTTTGTTTTGGTATCAGGGGTATCAAGGGAATGAATTCCTGCCTACCCCATAGTTGTCATAAAAGCTGTATACTTTTGTCCTTTGTTTGCATCCGCGTGGGGTTCTTGTATTCCAGGAGTTTCCCATTATGCTTGAGCATAATTAAAAAAGGGTGTTCCTGTGCCAAGGTGCTTCTGATTCTTTTGATAACACAAGAACCCACGGAGTCGGTAACACTGAGCTATGTCTGGTTCTGTGAAGCCTGCTTTTGGATGATATCCTCTTGGTGGTCATCATAAGGCTCCCTGAATAGGTTGTCAGGAGGACCACCAGTTCTGTGGTAGCAGAACCGGACCCATCGAACCTATCAATTAGGTGATTAAACCCCTTTATCACCAGGTGACTGCCTTACCCTCCTCGTGACTGGCTACCGGATAAATGAGCCAAGGCCAGACAAACTGGATTAAATTAGCAACAAAACATACATGCTTGGTGGAGCACGCCTGCAATCTCAGCACTCCAGGAGACTGAAGCAAGAAAGAGCATTTCTTGCTCAGCTTAGGCAATTTGGTGAGAACTTGTCTCAAAATTTTAAAAAATCTGCTGGGCATGGTAGTGGACACCTGCATTCAGGCAGGCTGAAGCTGGGGGAATATAAATTCAAGCTTAGCCTGGGCAAGTCCCAGTCTCAAAATATTAAAAAGGGCCAGGATGTACATTAAGTCCCCAACTTACAAACATTTGAGTTTTGAACTTTCACAGATACAAACAGACCTCGTGTTAGGCAGATGGAACAAATTGGGAGGTAGCTCATTTCCGCCCAATTGTGTTTAACTGCTGTGTGTTTCCTGTACAGTGTGATGGTGCACAGCAGGACAGTGCTTAGAGCCCAGGTTATCCAGAGGCAAGAGGAAAAGCAGTGGTGATGTGGAGGTTTGGTGTTTTATGCTTTACATTGTGTATCTGTGTCAAAGACTCACTCTCTTGGGCTTACCAATAAATCCGACCTACGGACATTCTCCAGAAATGGAACTCATTTGTTAAGTCAGGGACTTACTACAGCTCAATGCAAAGGCTGGGGGACAACAGAGTTCAAGCAAGACACAAAGAAGCGAAGAGTATAGGCAGTCCCTCGTACAAGCAAAATACAAATTGAAACGACACCCAAATTAAGATTCAGGCCACGTTTATGATAAATGGGCCCTCAAGGAATATAATTTCCTCCTGAGGCCACTTTCGTGCCACAAGGATAAATAGAGTTGTTTTGATCAAATTCCAAGGGAAAACAGGCTTCTGACTACTCTCTCGTTGCAATGTTTAGATTTAGCTGTTTTTGAGATATTGAAGCTTTTTCCAAGGCTTTGCCCAAGGTCTGGACTTCTTCAGGATCCTGGATCTCATCCTCATACTCAGAGAGGTTACATTCTTTTTGGCCATACCTTGAGATCATCAGTTTGTTTGGATTTCATCTATATATGAAAGAAAATCAAACAAGGAAAAAAAAATCAAATATCTCCCTTGCTTCTCCTGTAGCTCCCTCACCTGGTCTTCAGCCACCTGTCTCCGGGCCAACTGATGTATAACTTTCTGCCCAACACTATTGGCTTTTTCTTTAGGGAACCTTGACCAATACAATTGCAAATGGTTAAATAAAAGAGAAACTATCTCTGGGTATTTGGAGGGTGCAGTTCAAGGTCACACTAGACAACTCAGATAAATCCTGTCTCAAAAAGCAAATGAAACAATATTGGCAAGGACTTCCCTGTCCAGTAGGATGTAGAAGACCAGGGTAGAACCACATGCTTATTCATATACGTGTGTCTAGGGCAACACATTGGGAGCTGACACATTGAGATAGAAACCATACACGTGTAGAAAGCCTTTCAAGAAAAACTGGGTTTACCCATGTAGATCCTTAGTGAGTTGATGTTTCCACCTAAATTACACAAGTGGTAAAAACATTAGACAAGAGTGTGTAGGAATAGAGGCCCGTAGGTTGGAAAAGATGAGGGGACCCCCTGCAAAAGGAATTTCAATCGGTGGCAGAACAGGCTTAACCACCCATGAAAAGTTGACAGACTGCGGTTGCACTTGCTCTTCATGCAAAGCTTGGTTTATAAGTCAAATGGAAAGGAAAATTGACCTGAAGGTGTGAAAAGCCCCCAAAAGACCCTTCCATGTTGTCCCTAGTATCGAGCCAAATTAATTAACCAATCAAGTAGGGGTGCCCTCAGCCCAGGGACAAAATAGGCCCCCCTGACTACTATAAAATCAATTCCTTGAGCCCCACTCCAATGGTGGCTCCGTTTCGGGTACCCCTGCCTGTCTCTCTGAGAGAAGGCAGCTATACTCTTGCATGCTGGTAGAATAAAAGTACAAACTTTGCTTCTATGCTTTTGGTCTCTATCTGATTCTTCTACAACCTTCTGCATCTTCGGGACAGTCAGGCCCAGGATCAAAGAGCCTCTCCATCCATCTCCACCCGCAACATTCTGGGGGCTCATCCTGGATGCTATGATCAACTTCACTCAGATTGATCCTAAAAGCCTGGAAGAAAAATCCCTATTACGGGATAAGTTAATATCTCAGTCTGTTCCCAATATCTGCAGGAAACTTCAAAAGTGGATGGCTGACCCAGAAAAAGAGCCACTGGTGGTAGATGAGATGGTCAGGGAAGCTACCAAGACCTTCTTCAACAGTGACATGGAGGTTGAACAAGGAAAGAGGGACAGACATAAACAACTATTAGCCGCACTCAGGGCGAGGGTGCCTGATAAGGCGACTGGGAAGTCTACCAGTCCCCGCTCCAGAATTTGTAGATTTTACAGGTCTCAAGATCCCGTAAAGTGAGGCTTCCCTCTCTAGAAGGCCAAGAGGCCCCCAAACCCCCCAACCAAGTTTCAAGTGTGGAGGAATCCACTGGGCTGATGAATGCTAAGAGTACAAGGCCTCAAAAGTCCCCAGTGAGGGTCCCCGGGTTCCACACTTTAAGACCCATTCACTCCAAAACTTCCAACCGAACCCCAGGTTACTTTGATGGTAGGAATACAGCCTGAAAGCTTTCTTTTAGACGCAGGCGCCAGTTTCTCTGTTCTGCTTGAATCTTTTGAGTCTCTCTCTCCTCACATGCAACCTTGGTTCAAGGAGTCTCAGGACAAACTGTCAAGAGGTTCTTTTCCAAACCTGTCCCTTGTTCTTGGGGAGACTTACACTTCTCCCACTCTTTTTTTGATCATGCCTGGGAGAAACTCCCACTCCCTTGTTGGGAAGAGGCATCTTGGCCAAGGCCAGAGCTCAAGTTCTACCGTTGGGCCTCCGTATCCCCCATGTATGTCCCCTACAAGAGCTAGTCAATGACCCTACCATCTGGACTGATGGCCAGTCCATGCGAAGAGCCATAAAAGCTACCCCAGTCACCATTCATGTGAAAGACCCTCTCCATTTCCCTCACCAAAACCAGTATCCACTTAGTTCTGAAGTCAGGGAAGGACTAACACCCATCATCCCAAACTTTTTACATCAGGGATTGCTGCAGGAAACTGTAAGCCCATATAACAGTCCCATTCTTCGGGTCAAAAAGGGACCTAACAAGTGGAGATGAATTCAAGACCTGGGGCTCATAAAGGAGGCTGTGATCCCATTACATTCTGTGATTCCCAACCCTTACACTCTGTTATCTCAAGGACCAGAAAATGCTAAATGGTTTTCAGTCCTAGATTTAAAGGAAGTCTTCTTTTGCATTCCATTCTCTTGGGTAAGCCAAGACCTTTTTGCATTTGAAAATCCTGTGTCTGGGTACGACTGTTAACATGGACTGTCCTTCCCCAAAGGTTTAGAGACAGTCCCCCAACTCACTGGGCCAGCTTTAGCCCAGGATTTGTTAGAATGGAAAAAGGGACGTGTCACCTTGTTATAGTACGTGGATGAGCTGATGTTATATGGGGAACTTCAGGAGGCAGTAAGGGGGTCCACAAATTCCCTTCTTAATTTTCTGGCATCTAGAGGTTACAAAGTGTCCCATGAAAAGGCACAGAGGTGCCAAGAACAAATTATCTACTTGGGCTTCCTGATCTCATATGGCAAATGAGCACGAAGTCCAGACAGAATTGAGCCAATTTTGGCTTTCCCCCAGCTTCAACTTTGAGACAAGTTTGAGGATTTGGAGGCATTACTGGCTCTTGCCAGATTTGGATCCCAGGATATGCAGAAAAGGCCCAACCACTATACCACCTTCTCCAGGAGACACAAAAAGCCCAAACCCATAACCTCTCTTGGAACCCCAGGGCAGAGAAGGCCTTCTAGAATCTAAAGAAGGCCCTGGTTGAGGTCCCAGCCCTTGGACTCCCAAATCAAGAGAAACAGAGACTTTACCTGACTGAGAGACAGGGGGAGCTCTGGGGGTGTTAACCCAAGCTCTGGGTCCATACCCCCAACCCATAGCCTACCTGAATAAAGAACTAGATCCTGTCACCAAGGGGTGCCCAGGGTGCCTGAAGGCATTGGCAGCCACAGGAATCTTGGTTCCAGGAGCCTATAAGCTCACCCAGGGAAGGAGACTCTTTGTCAAGTCCCCTCATGATACCAGACAGCTCTTAAGGGGTCCCCTCCACCCTTGGGTCTCTGACACCTGGAAACTCAAGTATCAGGTGTTGCTGCTAGAAGGCCCTGATGTGACCCCAGAGACTTGCCAGGGTCTTCTTGCCAGACCCACATGAAATAAATAAACATGACTGTGTTGAAGTTTTGATCCAAACCTAACTGCTGAGGTCAGAGCTTTATAATCAGCCTCTCCAGGATCCTGAGATAGAACTATTTACAGATGGGAGTTTTTTCATATCCAAAGGAGAGAGGAAAGCAGGATATGCCGTGGTAACTGCCTCTGAGGTACTTGAGGCAGCCCCACTTCTCCCTGGTACCAGTACCCAAAACAGAACTGACAGACCTGGTAAGAGCACTCCAATTGGCCAAGAATAAGAGGATCAACATCTACACAGACTAAATATGCTTACCATATAGTTCATGCCCAGGTGCATATATGGAGGGAGAGGGGATTCCTTTCCTCATGAGGCTCTCCCATTAAACATGCCTCAGAAATCCTCTACCTGAGTCCATGCATCTGCCACAGGAGCTATTATCTACTTCCCTGGACATCAAAAGAACCAAGGCCCTAATAAAGGCATCATTTAACACACACACACACACACACACACACACACACACACACACACACACACACACACAAAAAGACCAAGGCCCTGTTGACAAGGGAAATAACAGGGCTGACAAGGAGGCAAAGATAGCTGCCACCCAAACATCATGAGGGACCCTTCTGGGGTCAGCTAACCTGCTATCCCCTACTCCTCCTCAATATACTGACAAGGAGACACAGAATGCTCAAAAGCAGGAATGAAACCTAAACTCAGATGGGTGGTGGATCACTACACCTCTCGGGTTTTCTTACCAGCTGCTTTGGCATGGCAAGTTATCAAAAGCCTTCAATGATACTTGCCACACAGGCCAAAAGAATACTCTTGTCCTAGCCAAAAAAGACTTTCCAAGGAAAGGAATTGGATCAGATCGTATAACAAATTGTTAGGGAGTGTGAAATCTGCCTAAGGACTAATCCACAAAACCAACATATTCAACTACCTGGACACCAATTTCATGGATCCTATCCAGGGGAGGACTGGAAGATTGACTTTACCCATATGCCAGGAAAACCCAACCAATACCTGTTGGTGCTCGCGGATACCCACACTGGGTGGATTAAGGCATTCCTTGCTTGAACTGAAAGAGTAAAGGAGGTGGTCAAGGTCTTAGTGCAGGAAATCATCCCAGTTTGGGGTGCCAGGGAGGCTCCAGAGTGACAATAGGCCAGCATTCTGGTCCGAGGTCCCTCAGGGGGTCTCCCAGGCCCTTGGGATTGACTATCACCTCCACTGTACACGGAGGCCACAGTCCTCTGGACAGATAGAACGGGCTAATGGGATTCTCAAGCAGCACCTGTTAAAGCTATCACTAGAGTGTAAGGCATCATGGAGACTTCTGTTGGTGGCCCTCATCTGGGACAGAACGACTCCTAGGTTCCGAGGTTTGCCTCCCTTTGAACTCTTCTATGGGAGGCCTTTCCTTTGCAATGATCTCCCCATTAATGAGGAGACACACCAAGCCTTACAACAGGTGCAGGCCCTGGTCCAGTTCCAGCAAATCCTGTTCATCCTGAAACAGACTGAGCCTGGACCCACTCCTACAGGAGAACCCCTCTTTCACCCAGGAACATATGTGTTGGTAAAGGCTCTGGATATTCAGAGTCTAGCCCAACCCCGATGGGAAGGCCCCTATGTAGTCCACACCAACAGCCATCAAGGTTACAGGTCACAACACCTGGATCCACCACTCCCACATCAAGCCATGGGCCACCCGCAGAGGAACTAGAGCTCATCCAGCATCTGAGCCTCTAGGACCACCACCTCAGGCCGACATTGACTCTGTGCCCTATTCCTGTGAACCTATAGAGGACCTCCGCTTCCTCTTCAAAAGGCATAAAGATAAAAAATGCCAGTTGATCCACAGGGATATAGGCACCCTTTGTTCTGGGTCTGTTTCACACTGGGGATTGCCAATGTCCTCCATTGCTTACAATCTTATTGTCTCTTTCCCAAGGGGTGGCACCACTTTGTGCGCAAGGAGGATGATCACTCTACCCTTTCTGACATTGCTACAAACATGTCATTGCTTTTTACACAGTTCCTGGAATAATTATGAGGATGTCACAATCCCTCGCTCCTTGTTTCCCTAACTGCTGGCTATGTTTCCCAGGGCCCCAAATGGAAGGTCCCCTTCCAACTTTCCAGCTTGTTGGTGTGGGCAGCCCTGAGGAGGTTGTCTTATCAGTGAGATCACTTACTTACTTAAACCTATTCACAGAACTCACCCATATACCCACTCTCCAAAAACTGGGAACTAAAGTTAAAGGATATTATTAGGACCTTGTCCAATCAGCCCCAGATAAACCACCCTCTTCCCCTAGGTACCTGACTCACTTGATGGAACCAGCACTAAAAGTTCCTTCCAGTCGTTTTCTATCAACGCCACTGTCACAGATGGCGGAGAGCTACATGCCAGGGATTTGAGGGAGAAATGGGCTGAGTTAAATGTAGACATCGATCTCATACTTCCATAGGTCCAAGTGTGCCACACCACAGAAGACCCATACTTTACCAACTGGGTCCAGACATTGGAGGCTATCAGCCTTTCAGCAGCAGCCTGCCCATCCAGTCACTACCCCTGCCCTCTAACCACCCAAGTCTACCTTGACCTTCCACAGGACAAAATACACCCCAAGTATTGGAACTGAACAAAAATGTCACCAGTAGGGGGTGGTTATGCACTTGCTACCCCTCCCTTTCCTTTTGAGATCCCTGACGTAAGTGGCCCTAATCCTGCTAGGTGGGCCAACACCTCATGCCTAAGAGCACCCAATATCCAAAGCCCACCTCATATGTGCTCCACCTGGTTACTTGTTCTCTGTACTCCTATCCAAGCCCAAATGAGCCGAGCCCCAGGACTCCAGTGCCTAGATTCCCACACCTATGTTGGAACTTAGGGACTAGTTAGTATAACTGAGTCCCCACCCTCAATCAGACTTTAATAAATTCTTTATGGGAAGGGCTTCCTCATCCAGGAACAGAGGCTCACGGTCTGTCCTCCCAACCAAAGAGGGAACCTGTAACCTTCATGGTCCCTAGAAATAACAGCTCTTGTGGCTGCCTTGGGAGGTATTATCTATGGGGTAGATGCCAACACAGTTCAAATAAAAAACCTTACAGCCATAATGGCTAAAACTGCTGAGTCTGGGAAGCAACTTCCGAGACCTTCAAAAGTTCCTGTACTCTCTGGCTGATACGGTTTTGGAACACAGATAGGTTCTTCACTGGATGCTTGCTAGCCAGGGATGTGTATTTGCCATGCTAAATGGGTCTCACTGTGTAAATTAACTCCTGGGAGGTAGAAACCAGGATATCCTTCATTTTAGACAGCCAAATGGCTCTATGATCAGCGAACAGTGGACCAACTCTCTTCCCAAATTTTCACTCGGATCAAGGGCTTACTTCCAACCCTCAGATCCTAGGTCTTACTTTTAATAATACCCTTCCTCTTCATCCTACTCATGTGCCTCTTTGGCCCATGTATACTTAACTGCCTTTCTCGCTTCATTGCAGACCGTATCAATGCTGTCAAGATGCAGATGGTCCTCCAGATGGAACCTAAAATGGACATTTCATCCTCCTTCTACCAGGGACCCTTGACCAACCTCCCAGTGAGCACCCTACCCTGTTTCTTGCCAAAGCCCCCTTGCAGCAGAAAGTAGCTTGAGAGGTCATTGCCCAAAAGCAGTAGACGGGGTGCCTCAGAAGGGGGATTATAGGGATAGAGGCCCCTAAGTAGGAAAAGGTGAGGGGACCCAGCCCCGCATCAAGGAGTTTAGGTAAGTGACAGAACAGGCTTAAATACCCGTGAAAAGCTGATGGCCTGCAGTTGCACTTGCTCTTCATGCTGCACCCTGCAAAGCTTGGTTTGTAAAAGTCAAAAGGAAAGGAAAATTGACCCAAAGGTGCGAAAAGCCCCCAAAAGACCCTTCCTTGTTGTCCCTAGTAATGAGCCAAATCAATTAACCAATCAAGTAGGGGCGCCCTCAGAAACAGGATAGGCCCCCCGGCTACTATAAAGTCAATACCTTGAGCCCCCGCTCCAACGATGGCTCCGTTTCGGGTACCCCTGCCTGTCTCTCTGAGAGAAGGCAGGTGTACTCTTGCACGCCTGTGGAATAAAAGTACAAACTTTGCTTCTACACTTTCGGTCCCTTGATTCTTCCACCACCTTCTACATTGTCAGGAGAGTCAGGCTTGGGATTGTGGGGACTCTCCACCTGCAACAAGTGGAAGCATGGAAGACTAAACGGTATTTAGAGTAAGGAAAACAATTCAGAAGTGTAAAGTGATTGAGGAGCCATCTTAAATCACCTGTTATTTGGGGCACAGATCAAGGATCAGAGATCTATTACTGGGGGGAACAGAAATTGACAAATTTTAGCAGTATTGTATAACTGTAGCGAAAAAGTTGGAATTGAATGGCCTCAAACTGACAAGTGGGTTTCTTCTTATATGTTAAAGGCTGGGGGTTTAGCTCAGTGGAAGAACACTTGCTTAGCATTCTCAGGTACTGGGTTCAATCCTTCAAATGGCAAAACAAACAAAACCAATAGAGCGCCAACAATAAAAAGTAAATTCTAGCACATGGCCAAAAATTTTATTTTTCAAACAAAATGTTTCACATTTTTATTACTAATCCAATCTACTAGTACAAACCATTGGAACAAAACCAAAAAGCATATTCCTAATAAACATGTCTAATTGTCTAAACACTGAATACATTTAAGCTTGGTATAATAAAATGATAGCGATCTTAACACAGCATAAGTATGTGTGTGAACACGTGTGCAATTCCTTATAGACACAGCTTTGTCCTTCTCCAGTGTCTCCTCTTGGAGTTGTACCTGATTTTATTACCAGTTTTCATCTGAATCCACTGAGGAATGGGACGATTTTGCTTTTGTTTTTTGGCCAGGAACCGCTTGATCCTGAAAGTCTTGTGCGAAGCCATGGCGAGCAATGGAGTCGAATGTACACACCACAATGATGGACAGCACAGCCAAACTTTCTGTTCTAAAAAAACAACAACAACAAAAAAAAACAGGGCTGGGAAGTTGGCTCAGTGGTGCCAATGCCTGCCTCACAAGCACAAGGACCCGAGTTCAATCCCCAGTACCAAAAAACAAAACAAAACAACAACAACAGAAAAACCAAGATGATCATGGAATTAAAGAAGTCATAAAGAGAAAACTGCTAAATGAATGAAGCAGGGCAACAAATAAAACAAATTTGAGTTAAAGATATTTAAATAACTTGATTAATATCTTGAAGGGAAGAGATGCAAAAATGCCAATGGGTTACATAAACTGGTAGAGAATATCACCAGAAAATGCAAATGTGTTTAAAAAAGTCATCTACAGGGTTGGGAATATAGTTCAGTGTTATAGTGTGAGTTTAACACATACAAGGCCCTAGGTTCAATTCTCAGTGAAAGAGAAGACAAGACAGACTAGAGGGTGGGGAGGGGAAGGAGAGGGGGTTGGAGGGGTGAGGCAGGCACAGAGACAGAAAGGAAGGCAGGCAGACAGACAGGAGCTGGGTGTGACGTGTGCTGCATGTGCCTGCAGTCCTAGCTACTTGAGAAGGTGAAGGAGGATGATCATTTAACCCCAGGAGTTCAAGACAGTCTGGGCAACATAGTGATAACCCGTCCCCAAAACCCAAAACAAGATAAACACAAAGAACTTCACCCTGAAACATATTATAATCAAACTGTTAAAAATCAAAGACTGGGGAGACAGGAGGGCAAGAAGTGGATGGGGGAATAAAAACGATCAAGCTGTGATATATACAATTCTCCAAAATAAACGTTGGTTATTATGAGTCACGAACTATACTAATAAAAAAGAAACCACAAGACTGGAGGTAATCAATTGTAATAAACGTCTCTACACACACCACTGGGAAGAGGACTATGGACACCAAGAGAATCTTGAAATCAGCACAGAAGCAGTGACTCATCACGTACAAGGTACCCTCTAAGAAATTAACGGCCAGTTTCTCAGCAAAAACTATGGAGATTAGAAAGCACTGAGGTAACATATTTAAAGTGCTGAAAGAAGAAACCAAAAAACACCCATCAACCAGGAAAATTCTGTATGTGGAGAGAGTAGCTTTCAAAAATGAAGAGCTGGGTGCAGTGACACCTGCCTGCAATCCCATCTACTTGAGAGGCTGAGGCAGAAGTACAAATTTGAAGCCAGCCTGAGTGACTGAGACCGTATCTAATACAGTAATACAGAAATCCTTAAGCCTTAAAACACTTAGGCTTTTATTTGCTCCTGCTTGTCCTGAAGCAAGCAGATCCGTGCCCCCTCATAGGCGATACTTTATACATAACTACAATGCACGCCACCACAAATACAAATATCCTATTAGCTTTTTGTTCTCAATGTGTATCCTGTTCTTTCTGATGTTAGCCTAGCTTCACAATGTATGTTCTGTCAGCCTTGAAGTTCTGTTATATGTGTATCCTGCTAGCTTCACAGTGTACATCCAGTCATGTTCTTTCTGATAGCCCTAAATGTTCTGTTAGGCTATGTGAATACCCTGTTCCCAAAGAAAGCCCCTAACCACAGGTCAATTATGATACCTGCTTATCTGCTAAAAACTTCTGCCTCTGTAAAATTCTGCTTCATTTGCCCCTAGCCCCACCCCCACCCCACCAACTTAAAAGGTATTAAAAACCTCCCCTTTCAAGTACTCAGGGTCCAGGATTTTCTGAAGTATGAACTTCTCCGGGCTGAGTGATCATTAAAATCTTGTTTTTTCCTCCACTTCTTTGAGTAAATGTTCAGTTTTTTTTCACAGCTTAGAATTTCTACAACACACAAGGACCCAAATTCAATCTCCGGTACCAAAAAAAAAAAAAAAAATTCTACAACAGCAGAATGCTGCTCAATATGGTGAAGGGTAGGAAAAGGGGTAAGGAGGGCAGGAAGGAGAAAATGGAGATGATATTAAGGCTTTCTCAGATTAACAATGAGGGAGTATGTTGGTAGTAGACCTGCCTTACAAGAAATGCTAAAAGGACAAATAAAAGAAAATACATTGCAAAAGGAGGGCTGGGATGTAGTTCAATGATTGCACCTTAGAATGCTCAAGGCCCCGGGGTGTGATTCCCCAGCAAGGATGAAGGAGGGAGGGGAAAGAGATGGAAGAGGAAAGAAGAAAAATAAAAGAACAACTTCTACTTCAGTATTACTACTAAAAGGTAATGGACACTAGGCAGTAACATGGAGCCATATGCAGAAATAAAGACACTAGTAAATGAAACGATCACATAATACAAATGCCATGGTTATTGTACTTTTGGTTTATAACTATCCATTTTATTTCTGTATGATTTCAAAGAAAATGCACAGAATTATAAATCTATGTTAATAGGCACAAGAGGTATAACGATATTTGTTTTAATAAACACAGTGGGAAGGCAAGATGTACTGGAGTGCAGCTTTGCATACTATTGAAGCTAAGGCGTGTGAGGTGTAGCTCAGGGCTACAGTACTTCGCTACCATGTACAAGGCTCTGGATCCTACCCCCAATACCACAGTAAAAAGAAAAACTAGGGTATTAATACAATTGCTTGTTATACAGGAGTCTAACTTCATCCTTAGGTAAGTCTAAAATATTTTTGGAGTAAAGGAAATTAAATAAAGACTGTTAGCTTCCCCCTCCCCTAAAGGAAGGGAAATTAGAAAGAAAGAAAAATGGCATAACAGGAAAAGAGAATCACTGAGAGCTGGGGGTATAGATCATTGGTAGGACATTTGCGTAGCATACATGAGTCCCAAGGGTTTAATCCCTAGGACCACAAAAACAACAACAACCCCCCACAATAACAGAAGCTTAAGTGGCAAGAAAAGATAAGACAGACACCAACAATCTCAAAACTTGACAGAAACTAACAGTCTCAGGACTTGCCCCCGCTGCTAAACCCATGAAGGTCACTGTGCCTGATATAAACTGCTGAAACAACAGCTGCCTGTGCCTCCCTATGTCTTAAAGATAAACTGTAAAAGCAACACCTGCCTGTTCCTCCCTGATCCTGTGCTAATTTCTGCATCTGGAAAAGTTCTGCTGTTTCCCTGCCCCACCTAAAGAGCAATATGAAAATGAAAACAAGTTTAGAATTGGAGCTTAGACTCTGGAAGGTGACTGCCACTGAGTCCAGTAGTGAATAAACTTGCCTTTCCTTTCAATCCTGAGTACTGCTCTCCTCCTTGGTCTGCCAGCCCCCTGAGTGCTGTAAGAGTATATTGATTATTTCAAACTAAAATTACCTGAAGAACTGTAACGTGAGAAAGGGTACTTGGCCTGTTTCTCATATGCAGCAAGCCCTAACAATTGTCATAGGAGGGATGTCTTTTACACAACAAAAGCTGAAAAACAGCCTTGATTACTAAAGTCTATTTGGGCTGTAATAAGCCTGAATAAACACACTGTTCAAAATAATCCCTGATACAGGCATGCCTTTAATCCCAGCACTTGGGAGGCTGAGGGAGGAGGCCAGCCTGGGCTACATGGTGAGTTCAAAGCTTTTCTGAACTATATACTAGCAAGAACCTGTCTCAAAAAAACCAAAATAAATAAACTCTTAATCCCACTAGCTTCTAATTTTTCCCTGCCAAATATCTTAGAACCATCCCTAGAATTTACTACTGTAGTCCAGACATCCAGTCATCCTACCATTTCTTCACAGATTTATTGCTGTCTAAAAAGCATATAAACTATTCACTGGTTATTTCTTCAGCCCTCACTCTCCTGTCTAGATACTCATGCACATGTAAAAAGAACTTGGAAACACAGGGGATCCCTCTCTTCCCACCAACATATCAAACTAAAAGGCAAATTGCTGCACACCAAATGTGAGAACAAAAAGCTTATTATTCTAACTAAAGTGAGAATGGCCATCCAGGAAACACGCATTTTTATTGTGTAGAAGGCTCCAAAATGACATCCAAGAGGTCTACTTCCATAAATAGAAAAATGAACAAGGTGAGACAGAAAAAATAAATGGCTGACAAACAGGTGGGACACTGGTCCAGGATGTTGGCTATGAGCAGTTTTATTTTTTCAGCCCAAGCAAATTTCTCCGTGGCAGACCCTGCCCTAAATTGATGCCCACTCCAAGTTCAGGTCTCCCTTTTCTATTTCTCGTTGGCAGACACTACCCTGAACTGATGCATATTCCAAAAATGTATCTCCTTTATCTAGCCAATCTTACCCCCGAGTATAAACTTGCTATACACCAATCAGTAATAATGATATCATTGTAATCAATCAACTGCTTGCTCTGCTTCTATACTTAGGTCCTTCTTGTGACCCTATATAAACTCTAGAAGGACAAAAGACAGGTGCCTGGTTCTTTGAGGAACTACCTCGACCAGGCCCATCGATATAATAAAGTTTGCTTTCTGCCTCCAAGTCCTGGGTGCCTTTTGGTGTTTCCTGCCTGCCATTACAAAGGGAGTTATAGCAAGATGGTTGTTAAAATTGTAGTTGTTGACTGGTCATTGCTTACCTCTGTTTACATTCCACGGAAGGATTTCCATCAAATGGGAAATATTTATTATCTTTATAGGTCAGGGAGTTGGCAGAAACACACTACACTAGGTCAGAACAACCAAGGTGGCTGTCTCAAACCTCATGTTTTCCTGGGCTAAAGAATTTCATAAACAGATTATTTTTACAATAGTTTTCATGTAGATATATAATTTTTGTTAAAAATGCTAATGGGTGCTAGGTATGGTGGGACACACCTGTAATCCCAGCACTGGGGCAGCTGAAACAGGAAGATTGCCATGAATTCAAGGCCAGCTGGCACTACAGTGAGGGCAAGACTAACCTGAACTGCACAGCAAGTCCTAGTCTCAAAAACAAAAACAAAAACAAAAAATTTAGCTAAATGAAAAAATATATTCATTTTGGTCAGGCAGTAGAAGCTCAATTGGAATGATTCAGAAACAAATACTATATTAGAATAAGAAAAGACAGTTCTTTCTCTTGTACCAATTAAAACAGAAGATTCATTATCAAAAGAAATTACTTAATGGCATGTCCTTGGCAGCTCAACTTTAAAAACTTTAAAACTGGGCTGGGGATTTAGCTCAGTGGTTCTGCCACCTGCCTCACATGCACAAGGGCACAAGTTTGAATCCCGGAACCAAAAAACAAAATAAAAAAAACCCCAACAACTTTAAAACTTTAAATTGAAAAAGAATGGGAACTGGAACTGTGTCTTTATCTACATCACAATGACACCTCCATCCAAATAACTTTCCATACATGTGCACTGAAGATCTGTTTATCTGTTGAAAGCTAAGAAATACATATTTCCCTGCTTCCTCCACTGAAAAATCAAGAAACAATAGTCAATTTAATAGTAAGACACTTCCCATTGCTTTTCTTCTTTTTTTTTTTTGGTACTGGGCATCAAACTCTGAACCTTGCGCTCCTGAGCTAAATCCTGGCCTCTCCCAATGTTTTTCTAATTATTATCTTTTTTTTTCCATACTGGAGATCGAACTCCTGGCCCTCTAATTATTATCTTACTTCAAGAAAAACACCACTTCCTGAAGAAATTTGATTCCAGATTTGAGTAAACTACAAACTATCTGAAACATCTCATATTCAAGGAGAGAAATTTTCACTTTTTTTAAAGTTCCAGGCTGGCCTCAACTTTCAATCCTATTGCCTCTCTCTAGAGCAGTTGGGATTAGGCAAGCACCACCACAGCTGGCTTAAGCCCCCATCACCTTATTATTTATTTATTTATTTTTTTGCATTTCTGAGGTTAAACCTTTGCCCTGGGCTATAGTCCCAGAATTAATTTTAAAAAATTATTTGTATTTTTGAGATAGGGTCTTGAAGTTGCTAAATTCTGTACACTGGGCACAAACTTGGATCCTCTTGCCTCAGTCTCCCAGTGTTGGGATTACAGGCATGAACCACCACACTCTGCTTAACATTCCTCTCTTAAATGGAGCAGTATCTTAGGGTTGCTAGACATTTTTTTTTGAAAGCATCATAAACTCCTTGCATCATGTGATCTTTTAAAAGTATCCAGGTATGATCTGTATACATCCATAGAAAGCCTAAACAACATGGGAGCATTATATGGTAAAACTTCAAATGACCTCTTCATAACTAAACTTACCCACACCCCCGCCACTCCAACCTGTCCAGCATTTGATCAACTTTTCCCCTATATTCATAAACACAAACAGTGAGAGAACTTGTGAATATGCACATGATATACACATACATAGAACAAATTTAGAATTGTGACAAGGGAAGAGATAAGATGAAATTTCAGGTGATTCATAATGAAAGACATAGTTGAAGTTCACCTGAGTGCGGCTGATTAAATTATTATGGATAGCTAAGTTCATTAAAAATATTATAGGCAGTCAGACAGGGCTGGGACCTTAAAGAAGTCAAAGCAGAAGATAAAAACACATCATAACTGTGGCTGGAGAGTGGAAGGTTCAGCCTCCAGAGAGAACTGACTACATATATTTACTTTCCCTAGCAATGACCAGCAGTGACTAATATTCTAATGAGGCATCCATCACCTTGAGTGGGGGACCAAAACCTCCTTAGCCTGCTCCCTCCTGGAAAATCCTTGTTTGTTCCTTGCATGCTTGCTTCCTCAACCCAATTCAATCAATATTACCCAAGCAACTATACTTAATCTTCTGGTTGACCATAGTTTTGTCCATCCTTATAACTTGTGATTTTCCACTGGATCAATACTACCTAAGCAGTCGACTATACTTGCAATTTTATTAGCTGACTATAGTTTTGTCCCACCTTAAACTTGCCTGACCTCATGACTTTGCTCTAAAAACTCCCTTGAGAAGCAGAGGTCCACAGGCAACCCACTTTCTGGGTCCCTTTCTGTCCTTCTTAGACAGAAGCTATTTTTCTCAATAAATTCTTACTCTTAACCTCCATTGTTCCTAAAATTCATTCTTTGATTTTAGAGAATATGAACTCGGAGTGTTGGACATGTGGCAGGTTGGGAGTTACAATATTTCCCTTGTATTATTTGAAGGTCATATGTCATATGCCCTATATCAAAATCATCTGGAATATCTGCCTTCCTTTGGTGTCCCTTATAGGCCTTAACTGTAGTGTTGGTAATCAAACCCAAGGCCTTACACACTAACCAAGTACTCTACCTGAGCAATAATCCCCTAATTAGTCTTTTCTTTTGAATCTATACTACTTAATATTTTACCAAAAGTGTGATATATGTGCAAAAAATTAGAACTTTAATTATAACCTGAATAGGTTTATCTTACCCTCCTTATCAAAACATGATATGCTGTATCATTATGAAGTTCTTTCTGTGGCAGCATAATTTTATTCTTACCAAAAAACCCCTATAAACCAGGTGTGGTGGCTCACGCCTGTAATCCCAGCACTGGGGAGGCAGAGGCAGAAGGACTGCTGAGAGTTCAAGGCCAGCCTGAGCTATGTAATGAGTTCACAGCCAGCCTGAACCACAAACTGAGACCCTGTCTCAAACAAAACAAAAACAAAACAAAAACAAAAACCCCCCAAACCAAAAAACAACAACAAAAAAACCCTACATCATGTTCCATTATACTTATACACTGTAATTTATTTAACCAATTCCCAACTTGAAAGCATAGATGAAGCACTGCCCCCATTTTATCAGTACAAATTTTGTTGCAGTGAAATCATTTAATATTGGGGCCCAAATCTAATCCCAGTACTCTAGGAGGCTGAAGGAGGAAGCTAACAAATTTGGATCTAGTCCTAGCAATTTACAGTAAGATCTTAAATTTGAGGCCAGCCTGGGCAATTTAGCAAGATCTTATCTAAAAATAAAAACTAGAAAGGAGCCAAGTATGGTGGCCCGCACCTCTAATGTCAGCACTCTGGGAAGCAGAGCCAGGAGGATCCCAAATTAAACCCAAGCCAGTCAACTCAGAAGACCCTGCCCTCAGGGTTTTTAACAATGGCTGAAAATGTAGCCCAGTGCAAAGACCCCGGATTCGATCCTCAGTGCCAAAAACAAATAGAAACTGCTGCAGGAGTTTAGTCATTAGTGATTGCAAAACAGATTCCTCTTACCTCTGCAGGTCAGTGACTAAGATCACTAGGATTCTGAGTATCTTGTGAATGCTTGCAACTCCAGCACGATTCTGTTACTGCTGCTGAGTTAAAAGGAAAAAAAAAACGCGGTTAAGAAGCCAGGCCTAGCTGTGTCGCTCTGTACCAGCGGGGGATTTGAAGCCTGGGGTTGGCTGCAGCCCACTGGTTGACACAGGTCCTGAGGCAGTAAGGAACCCCCTAATATAGTCCAGACCCCACTGACCTGTCTGAGCGCCGCTGCAGCGAACCTGTCAGGCCAAAGAGAACACCACCATCAACACTACAGGAGGCAACGCAGTGCGCAGAAAAACGGCGAAAACGCAGAAAAATGGTGGCTACCGGAAGTCGGGTCGGGTCTTGTAGCCGCAGCTACGCAACTACGCAGGCGCAAAATGGCCGCCTACGCCTCAGTCCTGGAGGCCCCACTTTCACGGCCTGGGATGATAAGACCAGTTGTGTGGGTGAGAAGTATCCATGGCAAACAGAAGCTTTCCTGTCTGAGATGAGCAGAGCCAGGACCATAGTTAAGACTTCAGTTAGAACCGCTAATCGTTTTAGGATGGTTAGTTTGACACTGGAATGCAGAAATTGTAGAATAATGTGCTGTTGGACCAAGAGGAAATCCCAGGAATCTTTGGGGAACGGTTTAGTGGCCATTTTAGACTGTGTACAATACAGACAAACTGCTCTCCACCCTTCACTCGCCCGTACACCTTTTAAAATAAAACTTTTACTGTATGTATACTTTGTGGGTATAAAGAGGTTGTAGATAAAGAGAAGTCAGGAAAAAAAAATCATGAAAAACTTTTTTAAATTGTGAAAGTGCTGGATGAGGCTCAGTAGAGGCTCTGGATTCTATCTCCAGCACCACAAAAAAAAAAAAAAAAAAAAGGGAAAAATAAAAACTATAGAAAACAAATGTCTTTGGGAAGCAACTTTTTTTTTTTTCTTGAGTACAATACTGGGGATCCAATCCAGGGACCCTGTGCTAGAACCCCAGCCCTTTTTATTTTCATTTTTAATTTTGAGACAAGTTTTTCAGTTGTCCAGGTTGGCCTTGAATTTGCTGTCCTCCTGCCTCAACCTCTTGAGTAGCTAGGATTACAGGCAATGCTACCACAAGTAGGCTGGAAGCGACTTTTTAAAAGTAGAATTATTACCCTGGTACCAAAAAAAAAAAATATTAGGCCAGGGAGGGCACATCCCATGTTTATGGTTTAGAAGACTTGGAGTAAGAGGCCTTGAATAGAAGCAGGTTCAGTGCTAGGTGGCTTGAATTTAGAAACCATCTCATTAAAATCACTGTTCTCTTTGTGCATTTTATTTTTTGCTATTTATAGTTGGCAATATCTAGTCTTTATAGTTTGAAATATCTAGTCCTTTTAGATATTCTGAGGTGTCTGATGTATATTAAAAGTAAAGGTAGGGCCGGAGATTTAGCTCAGTGTTTCCACCGCCTTCCTTGCAAGCTCAAGGACCCGAGCTCAATACCCAGTGCCAATAATAATAATAATAATAATAATAAAGATAGTAAAACAACGTTTTAAAAATTGCTTTGTTAAAATTCATGAGAAATATTTGCTTTGGACTAGCCAGACCACTCCTCTGTGCAGTACATATGTTTACATACTGGTTCCAGGAGAGAGGATGCAAGCACAAAGGATTCTGTGCAAGTGTGTTTATCACTGGGTATGTCAAAAACGTTTCCCTTATATCATACATGGTGTTTTACTTTACTGTTATATAACAGTGCATGTGCTAGAGTTGGTAGTTATTTAAATCTGAGCTGGAGCTGGGAAAATGCCAGCAGAGCAGGGAAGGGAAGCCAATGAAAAGTGGTGAAACATCCTGATCTTGTAACTTCCTCGAAGGGGATCACTGGCTCCACTACAGGTTCTCTGCATGAGGGGTTATTTGCGCGGGGCCAACACATGCACACCAAGGGGCCTCAGAACGCAAGTAGATCTCCAAAGCCTGGTTAGCATTCATTTACATTGTGGTTTGACACTCCCCTTCTTTTGTGGAGAGGACTGCTCTCCTCATTACAGCCAAGACAATATACAACCAAAGTCTCCTTCCCGACAAGGGTGGGATTCCACTGCAAATCAGAAAAGTCCCTTTAGCCACACCCCTCAACCTCTCCCCCAGGTTCTAGGTGCTGAATATTTAACCCAGGGCCTCACAAATGCTAGGCAAGACCTGTACCACTAACCCATACCCCCAGTCCTGCCTATTACAGGTCTTATGAAGAAGTGGAAGAAAAGAGTTTAAAGGCTCCCAAAATAAAGAACTGGTAAGGAGATGGGAATGTGCCATGGATTGTGAGTTTGAGGCCAGCCTAGACAATTTAGTGAGCTCCCATCTCAAACTAAAATAATAAAAAAGCAGGTTGGGGAGGTAGAAAGACAATGTAGCATACACAAGGCCCTGGGTTCAATCCTAATTACTGAAAACAACAATAAAACACCACCTAAAAATAGCAAAGGGCTGGGAATGTAGCTCAGTGGTAATACACTTGCTTAGAAAACATGAGGCCCTTGGGACACTTAGGTTGAATCCCCAGAGACTAGAAAAAAAATATATAGATGAAATACTAATTACTCTGATTAGCTTTGTACACACTATATGCACGTATTGAAATATTGTACCTTGTAAATGTACCACATAAATATGTACAAATATTATTAATTAAAAAGAAAATAAATATTTTTAAAAAAATTAATTTGAAAAAGAAGTCTCAGCCTGGCATGGGAGAACATGTGATCTTCTACCAATAAGCCCACTGGGCTATGTTGGGTTCATCATTAGATTAATCCACTTGATGAAGTTAGACATCTCTTGATCCATTCAGTTCCTTAAGCCCCATCAGCCAGCAGCCAAGCCTTCAACTCCAAGATTTTGGGTGGACATTTTAAACACCAATCATAACATGAACTAACCAGCAGGATATAACATAAGCAAAAATCAATAGCATTCCTTTATAGCAACAATGAACCAGTTGAGAAATAACTTAGAAAAATAGTATCAAGCAATCTTTCCAAGGAAGTGAAAGACCTCTATAATAAAAACTACTATTTTGAAAAAGAGATCCAAGAGGATATCATAAAATGGAGAGATGTACCCTCTTCCTGGATAGGCAGAACCAAAATTGTCAGAATGGCCATATTACCAAAACTGATATATAGATTTTTTCCCCCAATACTGTAATTGAACTCAGGACCTTGTGCTTGCCAAGTATGTGCAGGACCACTGAGCACATCCCTGGCCCAATATATAGATTTAATACACTCCCAATCAAAATATGAGCAGTATTCCTCACAGAATTAGGGGAAAAAAGATCATAGAATTCCACATGGAATCGGAAGAGACCCAGAATAGCAAAAGCAATCCTTGTCAACATGAATAAAAAGGAAGCATCGAAACCCCACATTTCAAGTTATGTTACAAAGTTATGGTGATAAAAATAGCATGCTACTCTCATAAAAACAGACACAGAGATCAATAGATCATAACAGAGGGTGCAGAACAACCCCTAGCACATTCAGTTGTCTTATTTTTTACTAAAAGGCCAAAAAGCATATGACAGAGAAAAGACAGCCTCTTTAACAAATGGTGCTGGGAAAAGTGGTTATTCACATGCAAAAGTTGAAAAATAGGCCCATGTCACCAACTGTACTGAACTACAATAAAAAAGGATCAAAGACCTAAATATTCCTCCCTATCATATGGATGACATACCCCAATGGCCTTCAAGGAAACAAACAGCGTATACCCTATCTTATTCTCCCTAACATTCTTTCTCATGCCTATGGGTCTTATTTGTAACTTCTCAGGTCCATAAAACCCTTATAAAGGCTCCCTGCTTTTCTCCAGGTGGTGTCCTTTCCTCCCTTCTCACTGCCCATAAACCCTATCTTTCCTTATTTCTTGGACAGGTATACAAACAAGTCTATTATTCCTTAAGTGGACCTCCAAAGTCCAAATCCAAAATAATTCTAAAAGCTTAAAGTCTGCCTCTGTCTGTCTATCTATCTATCTATCTATCTATCTATCTATCTATCTATCTATTATCTGATATGTCTCAGTACCCTGTCAATGACATTGTCAATCTTGCCCTGGAAGACTTAACAGGAGGCATCACAGACCTGGCACACCATATTAAATTCTGAGTACCAATGCCTCAAGTACTCACACAAAGGCAGAACTTAAAGTAAAACAGTTTTTTCCCCCTTCCTAGACTTTAGTAATTCTCCCTGACTTCCCCTCCCTGTAATTGCTGACCCCTGCCCTGTTTAAAAAAATAAGATTAACAACTATGTCCTCATGAGTCCTGAGACATCCTATAACCACAGGATTCTGGTTTCTTTCAAGGCTGAGTTATAAAACTGTCACTGAGTGATTATTTGCCTTTGTTCTTCTCTGGTTAACCCACCCAGCCACAAGTTTTGCTTTCTTAGGTAGGCTATCCCCCCTTTTGACCAAATGTATAAAAATAGAATTTTCGTTTGTTTGGGACTCAGTCTCTGGACCTGAGTTCGCTGAGCTAGTGTGTACCTAAATAAATCTTCCTGTTTCATGTAGTTTCTGTAGTTTCTGTTAGGATATTGGTGCTGCTCAACAAGTCAAGAACTCACAAACCGGATGATGGAAAAGCCTTTTATTCTTGGCAAAGCAGCAGAAGCAGAAATAGAAGTAGAAGCAGTGTGAGATGTTAGGTGTCCCTTTTATGTTAGAGGGGGCTCAGAAGAAAGAAAGAGTTGTGTGTCGACTGGTGATAGGTCAGGAGTGGGTCAGGAGGTGGAGGTGTTCGATAGGGTTTGAAAGAAGGACCTGTTGAGTTGAGGTGTAAGAGCCTGACTGAACCAGAGCGACTCCATGTTGACCAGCAAACAACCTAGAGACTGTCGCTTTCCCCCCATCCCTTATAGGATAACTAATGATTAATTGTGAATTGTTAGGTAACTGCTTTGAAGTAGCTGGGAAACTAAATGGAAACTGTAGTGAACACAGAGACCCAACATAAATCACGCCACTCCTTACTTGCCTGTAGTTGAATGTTCTGAACATTATAATCTAAGTTGTAAATGGAATACTGGATAATCGATCTGCTGATCATTAGTACATGACGGTCAAGTATATGCTTGATGACCGCTAGCTCAGATCAACTGATTCTTTGCCTTTGTCCTCTTCCTGTAAGTTTTAAGTGTAAACCCTCCCTTAGCCCTATATAAAATGGCCTCTGTTTCTGAGCTGGCCGCCTCTCTGAGCTACTTAGCTTGGGGAGTGCCATCTGGCCAGACTAATAAAGGTCTATTTGCCAACTTGCCTGGTGTGTTCCTTCCTGGGTGACTCTTGCTGTCCGACAAGCTCCTGAAGCCTCGCTGAGCTTCTGAGACCAGCATCATGGAAGCCTCTTGGCT